TACTTCAGCAGCCAGCTGCAGAGCGCGCCGCTGCCCATCGTGGACAAGGGCCCCGTGGAGCTGCTCGAGGAGTTCGTGTTCCAGGTGCCCAAGGAGCGCGGCGCGCAGCCCAAGGTGCGGCGGGGGGCCGGCGGCTGCGACGGGGAGATTCCTGATCTTTTTCCCTCCGCTGTCGGTGACAGGCGTTTGTCAAAACACAGACGCCCTGCTGTCGAGGGCTTCTTCTCGCCCTTGGCCTTGATCTTCGAGCAGCAGCCGAGGTGCCTGTATTGCGGGGCATGTGACAGCTGCGTCTCAGTGGTGTTAAAGCAAGAGCCACTGTAGGTCATCCCAAGTTCCCCAGGACGATGCAATAGTGACGTATAATGACATTTCCTGAGATTAACAGTAGAGTTCTATCCCCCGGGACCCAGGCTTTAAGAGAGGTGAAAAGTTCCCTGGGAAAAATAGCGTATTTTCTGTTTTCTTATGGTGTGAATTAATAGACGTGTTAAAATTTCTCATCGCTTCTCCTGGACTTCTTTTACAGAGACTGAATTCACTTCAGGAGCTCCAACTTCTTGAAATCATGTGCAATTATTTCCAGGAGCAAACCAAGGACTCTGTCCGGCAGATTATTTTCTCATCCCTTTTCAGCCCCCAAGGGAACAAAGCCGATGACAGCCGGATGAGCTTGTTGGGAAAACTGGTCTCCATGGCAGTGGCAGTGTGTCGAATCCCAGTGTTGGAGTGTGCAGCCTCATGGCTCCAGGTACTTCCCCAGAAATAGCCTTTTCCCCAGAGTCTCCGAGGACGAGTATAGCGTCAGGAATTTTAATTCAGTTGGATTTCTGGAGAGGCCTTTTCCACTTTATCTGCCTGATACCACTGCCGTATATGCTGATACCCCAGACCTATAAATACAAGTTGTAACCAGTCTTGAGAAAAACAGTAGTTTGTAATGGTAAATGAATTTAAGAAGAAATGGTTCCGTCTTCAGAACAAGTGAAAGGTCTTTTTTCTTAGTTAAAAACAAGAAGGTAGGATTTTGAAAACAGCTATACATGCAGTTTCAAAGATTCTTTTTTTTTTTAAGATCATTATGTGTCTTATTGTGGCAATATTTGCTTGTTTTTATACAGTTGAATCAGTCGGCATGTGAGTTGTTCCAGAGTGCCATTACAAAATTGCTGGCTCTCCTCATTGCTATGGACATAAGGGCCTTCTAGAGTGTCTTTAAATATCAAAGAAAAAATGTACATTTATAGTAGATTTCATGTTAGTTTTTTGGAAGATCTATTTTGTCTTGCTTTTTTGTTACTCGGTCTTTGAAAAATTGATAATTCGCTCAGAGTAATTATTAACTCAAAATCTTGATTAATAGGATCCTTAGCTAAGATAACAGAATTGACTACATTAAGTCTCTCAAACCTGTTTCATTCCCAAGGCCTTGAAATCATTGGGGGTTTTTTTTCCCCAATTTATTTAAATATTTTTCTTATGATCTTATTTATCTCTAAAATTTGGCTAGCAAAAATATATATCGTTCTTTGTACTACAGAGGTAAATCTCAGTGAAATCTGTACCGTAATTCTCACCAGTCCGATTTCCGGGGCATCTGAATTGATATTGTGTGTTGGGTTTTACCCCAAGATTACCTCTGTCCCTTAACAACCAAGTGACGTGAACTTTAGCGTTTTGTTATTCGTCATATGATTTTCTATTTCTCTCTAATGATGTGGTACTGTGATGCTAGCATTTTGGCAAAGTGAAAGCAGATGTTAACAACAGGAAAGGGTCTTGCATTTGGCTCAGAGTTTGCCGCATTGGGGTGTGGGGCTGCAGCTTCCTCCTGAGGAAAGGTGGAGGCGGCTGGTGTGATGTAGTCCAGGGCAGATTTCAGCCTGAGGACAGTCTGGCCTGATGCCTCCTTGAGGTTTCCCCCACAGGCTGTGTTGTGGCCCAGGAACTGTAGCATCCTGAGCAGCTGTTAAATATGGCAGCAGCTACAGACTGGCATCTGAGTGGGAAGGAAAAAGGCTGGGGAGGGTGGTGATCCACGATTCAGAAGTATTAAGGGAACCCGTAATAGGAGAGAGTCGTAAGAGAAGTTGAGAAAGAACTGATCTAAATCGTAGTTCACAGACTTCCCTAGATCTCAAATCTCATCAATGTGGAAGCAATGTTAACTTTCACTTTTGGAGTCTACCTGTAGGGTTACAAAAGTTGTCATTTCCTCATCTGAAGTTAGGAATGACTTTTCCCAAGTAAACTTCAAAGCAGAGTTCAACAGGCTTTTCACGTAAAGGGCAAGATAGTGAATACTTTAGCCTTGGCTAAAAGTCGTATGCCCTCTGTCCCACCTACTCGGCTCTGCCCTTGTAGTGCAGGCCGCCTTGGACAGAAGGCAGACACGGAGTTGCCCGTCCCCTCGCTCACGACACCTGTAGTTACATGGACTGTGGCTTTTTTCTAGCGGACGCCTGTGGTCTACTGTGTGAGGTTAGCCAGGGCCCTCGTGGACGACTACTGCTGTTTGGTGCCAGGATCCGTTCAGACGCTGAAGCAGATATTCAGTGCCAGCCCTCGCTTCTGCTGCCAGTTCATTACTTCCGTCACCGCGCTGTATGACCTGGCGTCAGGTAAACTTTAAACAGGTTGTTGCCATTCCAGAGGCTCCAGCTGGTTGCCAGTGGTGCTTCCTCTGAACACCCAGCCGTGAGTGCTTTGGTCATTATCTCTGAAATGTGTATTTTATTTCGAGCTGAAAGCTAACAGGGTGGGCCGCCTGGACTTCTGGAATTTGCTAATAGGGGATTTTTCTTAGTGGTTCCCATCTGCCTGATGGGAATGGTCCAAGTGGCAGACAGCCCTCGAAGCAAGGCTCCAATGCCTGGGAGAGATGTGGCTTTCTCCGTAGACATGACTTGACTTGCTTTTCTTTCTTTCTTTTTTTTTTTTTTTTAAGTTTTTGTTTTGTTTTATGTGGGGGTTTGGGGGTTTGGGGGGGGTTTGGGGTTTGTTTTGTTTTTAGTTTTTTGGTTTA